GAATAAATTGCCCAGGGAGGTTGTGGAATCTCTGTCTCTAGAGATATTTAAGAGCAGGTGAGATAGACATCTGTCAGGGATGGTCTAGACAGTACTAGGTCCTGCTGTGGGGGCAGGGGATTGGACTCAATAACCTCTCAAGGTCCCTTCCAGTTCTAGTGTTCTATAATTCTATGATCAGTCAGACTAGGTATTTCCAGGGTGGAGCAGAGTCAGGACACAGGGCTGTTACAGAGTAGATGAAAAGCCCAGAAAGGGGGGGGGGGGAAGACCTGCTAAATAGAAGCAGAGGGTGGCAGGACAATTAGAAACAGCTGGGAGGGAGCTGGTTCAGGCCGATTGGGTCCAGCTGACTCCACTGCTGGCTTGCTGGAGGCCTTTAAAGCCCTCCTCAGTTAGCAGCTGGGGCACAGAATGAGAGGATAGAAGGAGAGGCAGACAGAGATTGTTAATAAACCAGAACAGCTTTAGAATTGACAGCAGGGGAGGGAATTGCAGGAGGAGAGGCTGAGCTCCCTACTAGCTGCAAGCACTAGGTAAAGGGGGGAGAAGCCAGCCCAAGCAGTGGTCTGGGTAAGAGGGGGCCTTGCCAAAAGGGTACGTCTACATTTACTTCCTAGTTTGGAGTAGGGCTGCAAATATAGGTGACTGAAATTGCTAATGATATGCAAAAAACATGTTTTGAGGAGTAATGTTAGTTTGAACTTCCTGGTTTGAATCAGCTGTGATTTGAACTAGCGTGCCAGCTAGATCTTGCTAATGAAGTGCAGGATATTTAAATCCCTGCTCTGAACTAGGGAACAAATATAGATGTACCCCAAGGGAATCAGAGCCCAGGGAAATCAAGACATTTTCCCTAGGTTTTTTTTTATATATTAATGCTAATATTTAAATCTACACAAATGCACAGTGCATCTGTTTTCTCCCTAACCTAGCCCAGCGTGCAAGATTTCCCACCTCCCTTTGGGATGGTCCCTTAATGACTGTTTACTCGTAAAGCTGGGAAGAGGAGACGGAAGCACAGCCAGGGAGAGAGAGGCACGGGGGTCCTGCGTGTTTGCTCTCCAGTCTGTTTCTAGCCAGATGCTGTGTCTTCCCTAGATGCTGAGCGCACCCCCCCCCGGGGACTGCACAGGGCTGCATTATAAGCACTGCAGGTGCCCACGTCGGATCTCAGCGAGGGAGGCTGCTGCAGATGCTGCCGTGAGAGAAGAGCAGGACGCCACTGCCTGAGGGGGAGTCCCAGGGAAGACACTTCCATCTCAAAATTCTCAGGTATCTGTCTCCTTCTGAGGAGCTCACCTGCTTGACAGACCCAGCGCACCGTGGGCATGATGGAACATGGAGTAAGTCTTCTTTCCTCGCTGCTCTGCACAGCCACTAAACATCCCAGGGCCCTTTGTACTGCTGAATGGTTTCCCCCAGTGACATGACCTAACATGTCCCTCTTTGCTGTGCTACCGGCCTGTAGACCCAGAGTGGCTCTATTTCTATGTTACAAGGTGTTAAATACAAGGCCCCGTTCTGAGGCGATGGCCTATACTGTCATAGAATCATAGAGCTGGAAGAGACCTCAGGAGGTCATCAAGTCCAGCCCCCTCCCAGAGCAGGACCAATGCAACTAAATCAACCCAGCCAGGGCTTTGTCAAGCTGAAACTTAAAAACCTCTAGGGACAGAGATTCCACTCTCCCGTAGGTAACCCATTCCAGTGCTTTCCTCAGGATCTGCTCAGACAAAACTGCCCTTGGAGTGAAAACCGAGTAAAGACTCCGTGGGTCTGTTACCTCCTCCTCTTGCGTTTGAGGGCTCTGGCTATTAACACGGGTGATGTTACCCAATTTCCATGTGCTGGGAAGCATGGAGGCACTAGATCTCCTCAATCGAACGATGACAAGAATTTTTCCACTTGGGAAAAACATCTTGTCTTCTAGCTGTTACCTCCAAAACGTTTTAAAAAAAAAAACCCCTCAACCAGTTCAGCTGGAAACAGATACCGAGCCAGGAAAAATCCAGTCCAGATGCTTCCAGTTTGGCACACTTATAAGCCACTGAAAATGAGTCGTCCTTATAGAAAGTGTCAGATTGCCTTAATTAAAGGTGATACTATCAGCATCATGCACAAAGACAAAACCACTTGCGAATCCCATTCAACATATCTCTTTGGCTCTGTAATGTATGTGGATAGGGGCTGCACAGGAGAAATATGTATGCTGTCAACCATATTCTGTTATCACAGTGAAGCATTCAGCTTTTCTATGGGCCTGCATTTTCCCTTGATATTGCAATGGTAGAGACAGCCAATATAAATACCTGATCTATTTTCTTTAGATTCATAGGATTTAGGGCCACAAGGTAGCATTAGACTGTCCAATCTGAATTCCTGTCTAAAGAAGGCCTTTAAATTTCACCTAGTTATCTCAGTGTTGAGTTCCATAATGTGTTTTACTAAGGCCTTGTTTATACTAGGATTTTACAAGGTAGAAACATAGATCCACAGGGCCAGAAGGGACTTCAGGGCCGGCCAGTCTAACCCACTGCCGAAAAGCAGGATTTGTTGTGTCTAAAGCACCCAGGAGAGATGGCTGTCCCATTGTCTTTGAAAACCTCCAGCAAAGCAGCACATCGAACACATCAGAAAAATCTAAGCTTATTGCAGATGTGCCCTTCCCTTGATCAACCAAATGTCCACTCTCATTAAAGGATGAAATTGGATTCCTTAGAAAAAAATCTGTTTTCCTTATACCCTGTCGTCGTTTGGCATTAACTGTAATTCTAGACTTTTATTTTAAACTAATCACATACCTGCCTTTCCATTGCTTCCTAAGCTTGTCAAATTTCATTTCCCTTTTTAAAAAATTTGTTCTCTTTAACAAACCATTGTCCAGTGTTTGCGTGTTTTAAGGCTCTGCTGCTGCGTGATCATATATTTCTGGTTCTGGGCGAGATGGGTCGTGGATTGGTCAGTTTGTAAGTTTGGCGTTCAGAGCTCCAACGTTCTACTGTAGATACTTTTTAACATTCTCCTTATGAGTGTGAATAGACTAGAAAATAGTTAATCACTTCAGTTGATATGAATTCCTCATGCTATTTTTTTCCCAAAAGCAGAACAAAACTATTCCTTGGACCCATCTGCATTTTCAGCAACATTAAGACCTTTCCTTTTGTCCTCCCGTAACTGGTGTACCAAAATGTCTAGGATTTTTCATTCTTAATATACAAAATAACCACATTTTGTTGTTATATTTAGTAATATCCACTCTTTATTTCTTAATATCAATTTTTCTTTTTTCCGAGTTGTTAGATATTGCTTTCCCACACTCTCTCCATACTGCCTTCCCTTTCCCACTAAACTGAATATTTCTCCAAAGTTACCCCCTTTTTTTCACTGTGCAATCATGACTTTTTAGCTATCTAATGAATGCCTCTCAATCTTCATTCCCATTTTCTGCCTAATTTTTTTTTCTCCCAGTCTGTTTTGTTCATAATTTGCTTCAGCTTCGGGAAATTAGCAGTTTTGAAGCGCCACGTGTCTACAGATGGGAATTGTTCTCTTGTTTTCGACTTCAGTGTAACAAGTCCCATTATTTATTTTCCTCTCCTCCGTCATATCCTTTGTGTGTTCTCTAAACTAAAGAGTCCCAGAATGTTCAGCCTGTCTGCATAGGCTAGTCTCCCTCATTCTCACCGTCTGTGTGGGGAACTCCCCTTTTGCTTTGCTTTATCCTTTATAGAGACAAGGCGACCAAAACTGTGTGCATGTTGACAGTGGGTTATTCTCCATGCCATGCTATAGGCATCCCAAAATTGCCTTTGTTTTGTCCAAAGGAGCAGAGGTTTCCACTCAGCTGCTGTCTGTGATGTTCAGATGTTCTTCCTGAGGTGTATTTTCCATGGGCTGTGTCCTGAAGCACATGATTTGGCACAGGTTTAGTTATTTTCCACTCAGATTTTGTGCAATCAGGTGACTGGGCCCTACGGCATGGATTTGGTAGCTGTAGGGTAAACTGAGGCAGTGCTAGTAGGCCTCTAAACAGCATAACTCTATCCTGCGATCAGGCCTGGGAGCACCACAGTCAGGATAAGAGCTGCAGGCAATAAAAAGACCCTGGGCACCATAGCAACCACGTTCTAAAACACTCGGATAGAATCTCAGTTAGTTACATAACACATTTTGCTTAAGATAACAGTCATAAAATTTGCTTAACTGTCTTGCTTCACTCCTAGATGAGCCTGAGAACCAAGCGCTGCACCAACTCAAGGCCATCCCCGCCTGCTATAAAAACATCATCTATGCAGACTAAAATGTTATTACTGTTTTGCTGACATGTTTTGGCATTTGAACAGTAACGACCTGCATATTAATTAGTGAGTTGTTACTTTGCAATGGGTGGAGATATTATGTAATCTTTAGTAGTTCTATTGGCTTATTTCGTCTTGCTGCTAGACCTATCAAATCATTTTTCCTCCGTCCACCTGCTGACTATATAACCTATTGTATTGTGTTAATTAACCAGTGTTCACCAGGGGAACCCCTGCGTGTCACTCCATCAGCTGGTGTATAATAAATCCTCCGCTTGTTTTCACCTGCATCCAGAGTGTCCTGGATTATTTCCAACAGTAGCCTGGATTTTATTGCAATAAAAAAAAAAACAATGAGGAAGAACCAGTCTCCACACTCCAGTTTCCAACAGGCGCCTATTAAGGTTCCCCACACAAACTATTGACACTTGCAGCACCATCCAATATGGAATTGTCATTAGAAGAGTCGGTCGTTTGTTCATCATTCATTTCTCTGAACAATGACAATTCTACCTGTCTGTGGGAGATGTGCAACCAAGCTGTTTCAACCTTGAGAACAGCCTCCAGCAGAGCATTCTATGTCTCACATATTGCTATTGTCTCTCCATCCAGGTACTTGTACTGTGACCATCTCCCGGACTCTGGTAGAGGCAAGAGTCACTGTTCTCCCTCAGAGTTGGTCACAGTCTCCTGAACTCCATGTCAGATTTCAACACAACTGACCTCCACAACCCGTCCACCTTCTTCCTGATGGGCTTCTCTGGACTGGAGGGATCTCATGTCTGGATCTCCATCCCTTTATGCATTATGTATGCCATAGCGGTCTTGGGGAACTTCACCATCCTCTTCATCGTGAAGAAGGAGCCGAGTCTCCATGAGCCCATGTACTATTTCCTCTGCATGCTGGCTGTCACCGACCTCACCATGTCCACATCCATCCTGCCCAAAACCCTGAGCATTTTCTGGTTCAATTCCAGGGAGATCTATTTCAGTGCCTGCCTCACCCAGATGTTCTTCCTTCATTGCTTTACAGTAGCGGAGTCTGGGATCTTTGTGGCCATGGCGTTGGATCGCTACGTGGCCATCTGCCATCCCCTGAGACATTCTATCATCCTGACTAACCCTATGGTGGCCAAGATCGGCCTGGCTGTGCTGCTGCGCGGTGTCATGCTCGCACTGCCCTACCCCCTCCTGGCGAGGCAGTGGCCATATTGCAGAACCAACCTCATCGCCCACTCGTACTGCAAGAACATAGCCCTGGTGGCGCTGGCCTGCGCCGACAGCCGTGTCAGCAATTATTACAGCCTCTCTGTGAAGTTCATTGTGAGTGGTCTGGACCTGTTTTTTATCACGCTGTCCTACAGCCAGATCCTCAGAGTCATCTTCAGCCTCCGCACAAAGGACGCCCGGCTGAAAACATTTGGGACCTGTGGCACCCAACTCTGTGCCATCTTAGTCTTTTACATCCCAGATCTTTTCTCCTCCGTCATGCACCGGTTAGATCACAATGTGCCTCAGCATGTCCTCATTCTCATTGCTAATGTGTACATTGTGGGGCCCCCTATGCTACACCCAATCATCTACGGGATGAGGACCAAGCAAATCCAGGACAGGTTGTTCAGGCTCTTTACTCATAAAAGGACCTAAAGTTTCCTCCTGATGCATTCACTCTCAGACCGAACTCCATGGAGAGCTCACTGGTGACTTGGTACTGGGCCCTCTTTCCTGATTCATGGACTGGTCAGTTAGACGGACATCGGACCCCGTCCTGACCTTATTTTGCTGTGTCAGCATGGACAACTGGGGAATCGGTATATGTAAAATGAACTCATTGTGTCGCCACTTTTGTTATTGCTTGTAACTAAACCCTTAAGATCCCACCCTTTGCCACGTCTCTTGCACAGAATCCCTTCCATGCTCTGTCTCTTCAGCCCAAGATCCTCCAATCCCTCGCTCCTCTCTTTGCGTCCATACTCCCCATCTTCGTCAGCTGTGAGTGAGTCATTTCAGTTTTGGGTGATGGTATGTTTGGCTCTGTTTGCATTGTCTGCTTAGGATCTTGATAGCTCGAGTGTTTGATAGCAAACGCAGTGATTAACTGACAGTAGCACTGTATCTAATTCCTATGCAAAAGAAAGGAATTTAAATAAATATTGGAGTTGTCACGAGTCAGTTAAGGGACAGTGGTTAGGTTTAAAATGTTCATGTGATGCAGCTTCTGTTCTAGCACCTCCTTCTGGGAACAGAGACCTGCGATCCAAATGCCAAGGCTGTGAGAATAATTTCAGCTTGGCTCCCACAGTCTCTCCACATGCTTCAGCAGAACCTTCCTGGAGCTCCCTCTTGGGCGCGCTCTGTTTCCAGGTTATCTTCACTGGGGGCACATGATTGTTAACATGAACAGGCCCAGGCTGGCAAAGTGTGTGCAACCCATGGTCAGATTGGAGGAAGCAACTTGCAGGCTAATGGAACCAGATTCAGTCTTTCATTCGGGAAGGCGATCGGTCTTCCGTCTTAAAAATAACTTGACTGTTTGGGGCCAGTTCATTCTAAAGCAGCATGCATGTTGGGAAGCAGAGGTTGGCTCACACTAGAAATTCATTATTACTTGAGCTCTACTAGTCTACTTCAAATGGTACAATTGCTCTCCTGTGGACACAGTCATATCTGTATGAAGGTGCTTTATACCACTTTAGTGAGGGCAATAATCTCTTCATCTATGTCTTCACTGTGAGTTATTCCACAGCAGAAAATATGCAAATGAGAGGCTCATTAGCATAAGTCACGATCTCATTTGCATATTTTCTGCTGATCCATTTTTGCACGAGGGGGTTTTGCGCAAAAACAAGCAGTGTGGACATTTCCTTTTTGCGTAAAAAACCCCTTTTTGCACCCGATCAGTATACCTCCTTTTTTGAGGCATACAGATCTTGTGCAAAAAGGGTTTTGTGCCCAAAAAGGAACATCCACACTGCTTGTTTTTTGCACAAAAACCCCTAGTGCAAAAATGGGTTGGAAGAGATTACGCAAACGAGATACTGACTTATGCTAAGGAGCCCCTCATTAGCATATTTTCTGCCAGAAAAACCCACCACGAAGACGTAGCCTTGTGGTGTAAGGCAATTTTAAAGATGCTCTAGGTTGCACTACCACAAGTCTTTAGGTAGTGTGGCACAGTCTTCGCTCAGGCACTTTGCCGTGGGGCCTCTTCTTTGTCCACAAATCAACCGGAGATCCTTTGCAGTGCTGTCACCCATGCCTTTCGTTGTCAGTGCCAATTTTCCCCCACCCTCTATAGACCAAGCTTTTGATCACAGAAAACTCAGACAGCCTCTCCTTCTGGCTTGGGAGGACACTCAGTCTTCCCCCGTTCCTCCCCTTTTCACTTTCCCTCTGGCTGCCTTATCTCGCCCTTTGGCTAACGAGGCCCACAGCTGCTTCCATTAGCCCTTTAAGCCTGGGCTTGTTCATCTGGCTTCCGTTCAGCCAGGCTGTAGTGGCTTAGCCAGCCGTCTGCCATGGTAGGACTAAACAAAGCCACGTCTGCCTCCCCAAAAGAATTCTATATCTACAAAGAACTACCCGAAGAACAGGCCTTGACATGTTAGGAAAGACCAGAATTAAGGGGACTTGTGAGATCAGTGCCCTTGCGCATGGGTCTTACGATACAGACTCACAAGTGTGGCCATGGGGGTCAGTTCCCTTCCCCTCGCTACGTCAATTTCATCTGACCTGGTGTTTCCATCCCTTGCTGGCTTCCTATGATGACCCGAGGACTTTCTGGAGTGAGCGTGGTCCAGAGCTCACCACTGGGCCCCACAGAAGGAATATGATTGGTAGGGGGT